CCCTAACAAATTTTGATTACTTATTCATTTGTGTCCAATATAACTCATAAATCCTTTAATCTCTAGGCAACACTTGAATTCAATCAATTCATCACAATTCACATAAAATTTCTCAATCAAAACCAAGACACAAACAATTATTCATCTGTAAATTGTTAATTTAATGTTGTAAATTGTTAATTTAATGTTATAAATTGTTAATGTTTATAATGTAATATAATAATATTGTAATTAATTAAGTAATTATTTAATTATAATGTAATGCTATAATTAATTAAGTAATCATACTATACATGTATAATATAATGTTATAATTAATTAAATTTCTAATTATTTAATTAAATATTGTACTAATATTTATAATGTAATGTTATAATTAATTAAGTAATCATACTATAAATTTATAATGTAATGTTATAATTAATTAAATTTTTAATCATTTAATTAAATAATATAATAATGTAGTAAATTGCTAATGTTTATAATATAATGTAATAAATTTATAACTAATTAAGTAAGCATTTAACTATGTAATACTATAATTAATTAAGTGATCATAATATAATGGAATGTAATAATGTTATAATTAACTACATAATAATTTAATTAAGTAATCATTTGTTTATAATGTAATGTTACAATTAATTAAGTAATCGTATTATAAATTTATAATGTAATGTTAATATGTTATAATTAATTAAATTTCTAATCATTTAATTAAGTATTATGCTAATGTTTATGTAGTAAATTACTAATGTTTATAATATAATGTCATAATTAATTAAGTAATCATTTAATTATGTAATGTTATAATTAATTATGTGATGATACTATAATATAATGTTATAATGAATTAAGTAATCACACTATAAATTTATAATTTAATATTGTAATTAATTAAATTTATAATCGTTTAATTAATATATTAATGTTTATAATGGAATGTTATAATGATTAAGTAATCATACAATAAATCTATAATGTAATGTTATAATTAATTAAATTTTTAATCATTTAATTAAGTAATGTAATAATGTAGTAAATTACTAATGTTTATAATGTAATGTTATAAATTTATAATTAATTAAGTAATCATTTAACTATGTAATGATATAATTAATTAAGTGATTATAATATAATGTAATGTAATAATGTTATAATTTAATTAAGTAATTATTTAACTATAATGTAATGCTTAATTAATTAAATTTTTAATCATTTAATTAAGTAATCATTTGTTTATAATGTAATGTTATAATTAATGTTTATAATATAATATTAAAATCAATTAAATAATCATCTAATTATGTAATGTTATAATTAATTATGTAATCATACTATAATGAAATGTTATAATAAATTAAGTAATCATATTATAAATCTTTAATATAATATTATAATTAATTTGTTTATAATAGAATTTTATAATTAATTAAATAATCATTTAATTATAATGTAATGTTACAATTAATTAAGTAATCGTACTATAAATTTATAATGTAATATTATAATTAATTAAATTTCTAATCATTTAATTAAATATTATGTTAATGTTTATGTAGTAAATTAATAATTACTAATGTTTATAATATAATATCATAATCAATTAAGTAATCATCTAATTATGTAATGTTATAATTAATTATGTGATATAATGTAATATTATAGTGAATTAAATAATCATACTATAAATCTTTAATGTAATATTATAATTAATTAAATTTTTAATTATTTAATTAAGTATGGTACTAATGTTTATAATGAAATGTTATAATTGATTAAGTAATTATACTATAAATCTATAATGTAATGTTATAATTAATTAAATTTCTAATTATTTAATTAAGTCATTTACTAAATGTTATAAGTCAATTAATTAAATAGTAATCAATTAATGTAATGCGGAAATTAATTATATTATAAATCAATTAAGTAATGTTATAAAATTATAATTAATTAAGTAATCATTTAACTATAATGTAATATTATAATTGATCAAGTATGTTATTTAACTAGTAATTAAATTTATTAATGTTTATTAATTTATCATATATAATTCATTAATTGCTAATTTACTATAGATATACTTAGAACTTTATAATTGAAGTAAATAACTAAATATATTATTGTTCAATCAAATATACTATTTTATTCAAAAATAATTCTTTTAATAACATTAAAATACTTTTTATTGGATCCTAATTCAAATTATACACTTAATTAATCAAAACTTTAATATTAATATATTATAATATATTAAAGTTTTTAATATGGTGTAGTTTATATGTAATAAATATAATTGTATATTTATTTAATTATGTTATTCTAAAAATTTAACTTTTTCTATTTTAAATTTTTTATATGTAAAATAATGAAACCCCCCATTATTCACAAATATTTCATTGGAGCCCAGGTTCCAAAGCAAGTTCCAAAACAGGTTCCAAAAATCTGTTTCAAACAGGTTCCAAATCGGGTACCCATTACAGGTTCCAAGCAAGTTTCAAACCGGGTGCCCGTTTCAGGTTCTTTTTCCAGGTTCCGGTTCCGACACACATAAGAACTGGAACCGGAACCGGAACCGTACAGTGTCGGTTCTAATAAAATAGAACCGGAACCTACCCGTATAATGCCGATTCCGATTTCGGTTCCGGTTCTGGTTCTACTTGTAGGTTCCGGTTCTACCTGCTACCCGTGCTCACCCTTATGGAATACTCTTGTATATGCTAGAATCTTGTAATTAATATGGTAATTGGTAGATGGTAGTTGGTAGGTGGTAGTTTGGAGTTAGCTAATCTCCACTGTTGATTGCGGGAGATCTAGACCGTCTATTGTAAGCTCTATCTACTATAAAAGGGGGAGACGTTCATTTGACCAAACCATCCAAGAATTGTAAAGTTTCTCTCATTAGTAAAGAGTTCTCTTCTAGCATCTCTTGTGAGTAAGTTTGTGTGAGTGTTCTCTTACTTGCAAGGCTAGAAGCGTGAGCAAGCAAGGCTGACTTAGGGCAATCGTCAAGACATTGACACCTAAGGCCGCACGAGTCTGAAAGGAAGCAATGGGGTTGTGACATTTGGTATCAAAGCGGGAAGATTCTTGGTTCAAGATGTCGTCCAAAGTTTTCCATGAAGAGCAAAGGGGGAGGGAGGCCAATCCTAACCCTAATCTTCCAAGAAGAACTCTCGAGGAGGGAAGGACAAGTCCATGGATGTGATGGCCTCAATGGAAGCACAGGTGATGCGCAACGAGGTGAATGTTGCCGAAGTGAGGGAACACCTCGATGTCTTTGATCAAAAGCTGGATGATGTGGAAGGCATGGTCGAAACCATGGAAGAGTTTCGCTAAGATGTTGCCGAGAAGCACCAAGGTTTTGCGGAGTTCCAATCGGTGGTGTTGGACTCTCTTAGGGCATTACAAGCTCAAGTGAAAAAGCTCCGATCAGGTCTAGAGAAAAACAAGGGCGATTGGGCGTTTTGCAAGAAGGTGATGGCAAACGGGGTCGTCACCAATGCCGCACCTCCCGCAAGGGTCGAAGTTCCAAGACTGCAGAAGTATGGGGGAAAGCAGGATGCCCAAGAGCTAGAGAACTTTCTATGGTCCATAGAGAGATACTTCGAAGCTACTAGTGTCCAAAGTGAACAAGAGAGGGTGAACATTGCAATCGGGTATCTTGAGGATCATGCAATCCTGTGGTGGCAACGAAAGCATGCCGAAATTGTTCAAGGTACGTGCATCATTAACACTTGGGAGTTGCTCAAGTGTGAGATCAAGAAGCAATTCTATCCGGCCAACGTAGCATATAAAACACGAAAGAAAATGTAGGAGCTTAAGCACACAGGGCCTATTTCTAGGTATGTGGACGAGTTCTCTAAACTTATGCTTTGAGTTGATAACATGAACTCGAAAGATTTGCTATTCAATTTTATGGAGGGGCTCCAACCTTAGGCACAAAGGGAGCTCCAAAGGTGTCAAGTTGCCAACATCTCCACGGCCCTCACTGAAGCTGACACCCTGGTCGAGTTTCGCAAGGGAGAAACATCCAAGCCGAAGAAAGATGGCAAGCCTGATTACGGCAAAGATGGGGGAGGAAAGGGAGACAAACCATCCCACCGAGAAAAGGGAGACAAGCTGCCTCACAAGAAGGAATGGCGGAAGGATGGTAAGAAGGAATACAAGCGCCGGGAGAACTGTTATCTTTGTGATGGGGATCATTGGATCCAGGATTGTCCCAAACGCAAGGCCTTCAATGCCATGTTCGAAGAGAATCAACCTGAAGCACCCGCATTCGAGACTGCCAACATGGGGTGCTTTCAACTTCTCAATGCCTTAAAGGTAAAACCCGCACAACCCAAAGTTTAAGATAAGTCCCTTATGCATGTTAAAGCCACCATCAATGGGAAGAAAGTCTAGGCCTTGTTGGACACGGGTGTTTCCCACAACTTCATTAAAGATAGTGAGGCAAGACGGTTAAGCCTCAAGGTGGAGAAATCGGATGGCCGGCTCAAGATGGTGAATGTTGAAGCTAAACCACTTAGGGGCGTGGCTCGGAATGTTGAGCTACATCTTGGCACATAGAGCGGCAAGGTAACATTTTCAGTTGCACCTTTAGATGACTTTAACCTTGTTCTTGGCATGGAATTTCTCAGGCAATTCAATGCGGTTCCCCTACTGCGATACAACTCTATGTTCATTCTTGAGGGAGTTCCATGCATGGTTTCGACGGTGAGCAAGACCACACCAAGCAACCAACTCTCCACAATGCAAATTGAGAAGGGACTTAAGCGGAAGAAAGAAACCTTTCTTGCCATGATGCATGAGTTGGAAGATGAGGGAGGTGTGGGCTGCCTGTGGAGCCGGTACCGGAGGAAATATCCTAAGTCCTTGAAGAGTGCAAGGATGTCATGCCACCCGAGTTGCCGAGATGTCTACCACCTAGGAGAGAGGTTGACCACAAGATTGAGCTAGAGCCGAGAGCCAAACCACCCACCAAAGCTCCATACTGGATGTCGCCATCGGAATTAAACGAGTTGCGGAGACAACTCAAAGAACTCTTAGAAGTCGGATTTATCAAGCCTTCGAAAGCACTATACGGAGCTCTGATTCTCTTTCAAAAGAAGTATGATGGGTTGCTTTGCCTTTGCATCAACTACCAGGCACTCAACAAGGTAACCACAAAAAATAAGTATCCCATTCCACTATTTGCCGATTTGTTTGATCAACTTGGACATGCCAAGTACTTCTCTAAGCTTGATTTGAGATCGGGATATTACCAAGTGTGGATTGCGGAGGGGGATAAGCCGAAGACTGCATGTGTGACGCATTATGGAGCCTTTGAGCTCAAAGTCATGCCGTTTAGCCTTACCAATGCCCCTGCCACATTTTGCACCCTCATTACCATATCTTCCATCCATACCTTGATCGGTTCGTGGTGGTGTATCTCGATGACATTGTGGTGTATCTCGATGACATTGTGGTGTATAGTAATACTCTTGAGGAGCATGCCGAGCACTTGCGGATAATTTTTCGAGTGTTACAAGAAAATGAGCTATATGTCAAGCGAGAGAAGTGCTCATTTGCCAAGCTAGAGGTAGAGTTTCTTAGCCACAAGACCATAGACGAGAAGCTCATCATGGATAAAGCCAAGGTGAAGGCTATTGCGGAGTGGGAAGCCCCAACAAAGGTTATGAAGTTACTCTATTTCTTGGGTCTCGTCAACTATTACCGAAGATTCATCAAAGACTTTTCCACCATTGCCGCACCACTCACGGATTTTCTCAAGAAGGCCATAAAATGGGAGTGGACGGTTGATCGCCAACATGCCTTTGACTCTTTGAAGTGGGCCATCATAGAGGAGTCGGTGTTAGCATTGCCCAACCATGCTCAACCATTTTAGGTACATACTGATGTATCTGACTTTGCTATTGGAGGTGTGTTAATGCAGGATGAACATCCAATAGCATTTGAAAGCCGGAAGCTCAATGATACGTAGCGGCGATACATGGTGCAAGAGAAAGAGATGACAGCCATGACGCATTGTCTACGCGCTTGGTGGCACTATTTGCTTGGTTCCAAGTTCTTGGTGAAAACAGATAATATGGCCACAAGTTACTTCCAGAGTCAGAAGAAACTCAGGCCCAAGCAAGCTAGATGGCAAGATTTCTTGGCCGAGTTTGACTATATGTTGGAATACAAGCCCGGGAAAGCCAACTTGGTGGCGGATGCATTGAGTCGAAAGGCCGAGTTTACAGCCATAAGCAAGATACAAGGTGACCTCCTTAAGCTCATAAAAAAGGGTCTCGAACATGACACATTGGCCAAGCAACTCATCTCCTTAGCTCAAGATGGCAAGACTAAGCGCTTTTGGGTAGAAGATGGCCTTCTGTACATCAAAGGGAGAAGGGTGTATGTTCCAAAGTGGGGAAATTTGTGGAGGAACTTCACCAAGGAGTGTCACGACACCAAATGGGTCGGATATCCCAGACAAAGGAGCACCTGAGCACTATTAGAGGCAACCTATTATTAGCCACAAATGCAGGATGATGTAGAGTAATTTGTGAGAACTTGTCTTGTGTGCCAACAAGATAAGGTGGAACACCGAAGCCCCGCAGGTTTTTTGGAACCATTGCCCACACCAAGTAGACCATGAGAGAGCATCTCAATGGATTTAATAGTGTGCTTACCGAAATTCGAGGGGTTTAGTACCATAATTGTTGTGGTGGATAGGTTGTTGAAGTATGCTAACTTCATCCCCAGACCAAATAAGTGTACAACGGAAGACACGACCAAGCTTTTCTTCAAGCATGCAGTGAAATATTAGGGTCTTCCGAAGTTTATCATCAGTGATCAGGATAGTCGATTCATAGGGAGATTTTGGACCAAGTTGTTCAAACTTATGGGGTCGACGTTGCACTTTTCTACAAGCTTTCACCCTCAAACCGACTGGCAAACCGAGAGAGTGAATGCCTTATTGGAGATATATCTGCGACACTTTGTGAGCGCCAACCAACTTGATTGGGCAATGTTAATTGATGTAGCCTAATTCTCTTATAATTTGCAGAGGAGTGAAGCCACCAACAAAAGCCCATTCGAGATGGTGATGGGTCAACAACCACTCACGTCGCACACCTTGGGTACAAGTTATAAAGGGAGCAACCCCGCGGCATTCAAAGTTGCTAAGTCATTGCATGAGCAAGCCGATATCACACGGGCATATCTTAATAAAGCAACCAAGAAGATGAAGAAGTGCGCAGACAAGAAGCGGAGGCATGTGGAGTACAGCGTGAGGGATCTAGTACTTGTCAAAATCCTCTCATCACAACACAAGTCCACCCGACCACTACACAAAGCCCTTGTCCAAAGATATGAGGGGACATTTTCCATAATCAAGAGGGTCGGTAATGTGTCCTATAAACTTGAATTGCCCTCTTGGTTGAGACTTCATTCGGTCTTCCATGTGAGTTGTTTGAAGCCGTACCATGAAGATGCAGAAGATCCGGGAAGGCGAGGATCAAAATGGGCACCATTTGGCAACACCAAGTTCTATGACAAGGAGGTGGAGTGTGTGTTAGCTGATCGTGTCATTCGACGAAAGGGCCATCCTCCAAGTCGGGAATACTTTGTCAAATGGAAGGGACTACCGAAGAGTGAAGCCAGTTGGGAACCTGAAGATGCATTGTGGCAATTTAAAGACAAAGTCTAAGAATTCCACGAAGAGTCGACGATGACGTCTTTGGATTGAGTGGGGGAGAATGTGACGCCTTTCAAGCATTTCATCAAACACTTGGTGTGCGTCACCCCGACATTCTAGAACCTTTTGGAATACTCTTGTATATGCTAGAATCTTGTAATTAATACGGTAGTTGGTATGTGGTAGTTTGGAGTTAGTTAATCTCCATCGTTGATTGTGAGAGATCTAGACCATCCATTGTAAACTCCATCTACTATAAAAGGGGGATACCTTCATTTGGCCAAACCATCCAAGAATTGTAAAGTTTCTCTCATTAGTAAAGAGTTCTCTTCTAGCATCTCTTGTGAGTGAGTTTGTGTGAGTGTTCTCTTACTTGCAAGGCTAGAAGTGTGAGCAAACAAGGCTGACTTAAGGCAATCGTCGGGAGATTGACACCTAAGGCCGCACGAGTCCGAAGGGAAGCAATCGGGTCATGACACTTAGCCCTCCAACCTCCCACAAACAACCTCCCTACGACCTCCCTTGCCTTCCCCCATCTTTTGTAACCTAAACAAAGCTACACACCCGATGCCCACCAACTGCCCGACAAAACGCCACAACCACCGTAACAATAAAACCAACTACATATCCCTCAAATTCGCACAAATCAATCAAATTTCTCATCAAATTCAAAACCACCAGTAAAAAACGTACCCTTTCTTCACCGGTGTCCTCTTCGCTTGAATTCTCGCCGGCGTCCTCCTCTTTAGAACCATTTTCTGATTCTTCTCTCTATTCTTGTGTTGGCGTTGTCTCCTCTGCCTCTGGACCACCTTGACTCATCGGATGATCCACTAGAGCGTCTTCTTCGACAGCCTTTGAATAGCAGCCGTCGCCGGAGTCTAGGATTTGGAATGGGGTTGGGTTTTCCTCCTTTTTGTGAATAACAGCCATGATTTTGTGTAAGGAAGCTTTATGATCGAATATTTGCTAGAAATATGGCACTTTTATTGCTGAAAATCGCAGAGAAATCGAAGGTGTTCGTCGGTCATTTTTTGGGTATATTGCTCGATTGAGCAATTTTGAAGGGTGGGGGTCGTTTTTAATTTTTAAAATTTAAACAAACTTCCGTTAATTATAATATTACCCACATATGTTTAAATCTTTTCAGTTTTACATGTTTAATGAATCCTAAGTGTGCCATGTCAGTTTTTCTAACTTAAAAAAAAATTGCAAAATATTTTCAAGGTTATTTTTTTAAAAGCAAACTTGGGAGGTCTGACCAGTTAAATTTCCTCCATTACATTGTACTATTTTTATACTATACTATACATTTGATGTATGAATTACATTACATAGTATTACTTTTGCTCTCTAATAATTATTTTTTAATTATTAAAAGTTAATATATATTTTTCAATTATTATTTAACTAATAAATTAAAAAAATTCAAAACTTGAATGGGCGAACACTTAATGCTAGTCAATGAAAGTCAAAATGATGGTCAAATACTGGTCAACACCATCAAATATTGATCAAAGTCGGTCAAACATTGGTCAACGATGGTCCATGACGGTCGGTCAATGCCCAACCACTGCATATTTAAATTTATAAATATTAAAATTAATTGTCCGTGTTTATTTGTTTAAAGTTAGTGATAAGTAAAATTGCACTAACTAATACAATAATTTTAGTTTGCAATATATGTTGTAGAATATATTACATTATTCTAACCATTGGTATTATTTAATGTAATACAGTTTTGTTACCAAACAGTGTATCGTATTATTTAGTACTATGTAATTTATTTAATGTTATGCTATGTCGTGTGTTAAACGTAACTTATATTTCATTTTATTAAAAGCTTATAAACTTAAATCAAGCATTTTAAATTTTAGTGTTGATTCCATGACCTTTTGTACTATATATATATATTATCTATATCTATACTATATATATATATATATATATATATATATATATATATATATATATATATTATATGCTATAGCAAATATATATTGTAAAGATTAAAGGATGATTTGCTAAGTTATTAATTGGAATCTAGAGAAGTGGTAAACTAAGGCAATATGTGAGTTAAATAAGAATTCATTCTTAAAGGAATGGTGATGAAATTTCAGAAGTGACAATTAATAGCGGGAGAATGGCTTTCCCACCCGTCAAGATTCAAAATGATACTTTCCCACCTTATCAGGTTTATTAATATGAATAATAAGATGAAATATCTTTAAAGTTTATTCTTAATTAGTTTATTATAAATTAAAATTTAGTTAAATTAAAGTCTTTACTCAATTATTTATTAGTTCAAGTGTAAAGATATATTTTTCCCTTTGTTTATTTAATTAATTAGAAATATTGATTTTCTATGTTAATTAGTAAAAATGAAAAACATTATAAATTTAGTAGATTATTGAATAAAAGTGATGAAATATTGATGACACTATAAATAAATAAATAAATATTTAGGTCATTTAACTTTAAACAATTTCATAGTATTACTCTTAACTTTTTAGGTGAGGTTACCTATTATTTCTTTTTTGACTTTTTAATATTTGACTTTTTGGCTAATTAAAAAATAATAAAAAATTTATAAAGTCAAATATTTAAGGGTATTTTCGTATTTTCAATAAAATATTAATAGAAAACATAACAGAACCTAATGAATGGTGTGAAAATGTCATTTTGAAACTTGAAGGGCGGGAAAGGTTGTTTCGCCAAACCTTGGGTGGGAAGATGCTGTTCTCCCATTAATAGCTTTAAGGGGGCGTTTGGTTCAGGGAATATTGGATTATTAGGAATGTTGGATTACTGAAAAGTTAGATTACTGAGAATCTTCACGAAAATGTGTTTGGTTAATTGGTGGGTATGTTATATTAATATATTTGGTTGGGAGGAATAAATTGGTGGGTATGTTATTTAAATTACTGAATTGTCCTCTAATTAAATATTATTATTATATTATTTTTAATATTGATTATTATATCCCTGCATTTAAAAACATAGCAAAAACAACCCCATAATAAAAGTTTGGAAAATCACAAAGCACCCCGACTAACCCAGCCATTGCCGGTCGTCGGCAACCACCACAGGCCGCCGGCATCCGGCAACCTAATGGCGCACGGAAGGCAGGAAATGGCCTTCGTGCTCCGTATGGCCATTTCCGGCCAGAGATCTGGCTGGAAATGCGTTCAGCCTTTCGTGCGCCGTTTCAGTTGTGGCGGCTAGCCGCGACGGTGGTTGCCAGCAGCAGGTGGGTGGGGGTGATGGCTTGGGTGGGCTGTAATTTATTTTGAATTCAAGGGTAATTTTGTCCAAAAAATTAATTAATTTGGGTGACATAGTAAAAGCCATATTCATATAAATAAATTTAAAAATAAGGGCATTATTGTCCTAAAATTTTATTAATAAGAGATAGAATTGTAACAAAAAAAGATTACTTTGGTAATCTTGGAATACCTAAGAAAATAGAGGTAATCAGATTACTTCCAATATTACCAACAATAACTACTATTGGTATTTGAAGATTACCAGAATCTTATATTATTTAACAACCAAACATGGTAATCAAGTAATATAAGATAACATAACTCCAGTAATCTCATATTACCCCTAACCAAACGCCCCCTAAAGTTATATATGCATCGAAATTTTACAGCTACAGTGAGCAACATTTGTTCTTTCAAAATTCCTAATCTTTAAAGAATTCCCTCCACAAATTTGAGTACTACGAACTAGTATTTTTGGAGACCTGCATTGATAAAGGACTGCTTGAATACTGCGAACTAGTATTAGCTGTCTGCTGTCGTTCCATTTCATATCAAGACAAGAAAGCAAAATGCAGCATTAGTATAGGATGCTTAATCTCTACAACCATATTTTTTTCATTATTAATTTAACAAAAAATATTTATATTTAATTAGGTCTAATCATTGTAATTGGGAGTTGATTAAAATTTGTCCCGTCAAGCCATTTTCAATCGATTTGTAATATTATCTACTTCACAGATGTTGCCACAGTCTAAATTTGACCTTTTCCCTCTTATCTGTCGTTGTAGCTGACAAATTTAAAGGCACTAATTGGTACATTTATATAGAACAATGACATAGTAGCTAAATAATTGTAAGATTAATTTTTTTTTTCTCTAGAGACTGATTCGATGGGCTGTCCTCATAAGCTTATTTCACATCCTCAAGTTATAACAAAATTAATACTGAAGGTCATAATATTAATAGAAAATAATAGAGTTACTGAAAATTACACATCAAATATATATACCGAATGACGTAACAAAATCATGATCGTTGATTAATATTAACTTATAATGAATAAACAGTCAGGATTGTGTCACGTCATTCGATACATGAATTCGATGTGCATCCTTTGGTAACGGTAACATTACTCAATATTAATTTTGTACGCTTCAAGTTTATTTCAACAACAAATGATGTGACATTCTTGTATTCTATATTATGAAGTTGCTTAATACATGGGCAAGGATTTAAAATCTTACCAGATAATCTGAAATCCCAACAAACCCCAATTCCCATTTATGTTCAAACTTTTTTCTAAATCCAATTTTGACCTAATAATATTTATGTTACTTACAACTTAGAACTAACCTTTTAATGACCTATTCATTTCCATCTATTTTGGCTGTCATAATTTATCTGTAATTTTCATTCGTGTAATAAATGAAATTATCTTATCAATAAAAATGATATAAATATAGTTGATCAGTGAGGAATCAAAGAATTTATTAAAGTAAAAATAAACAAATTTAGATTGTACGATTCTGAATTCTGTAATAATGCATTAAATTCGATACTTTAACCTTTAATTATTTATTAAATTGTTAATTAAGTTGGATTAATTTAATAATTTTCCCTGATCAATTTTGTGATTGCTGCTGGCGTTAACATCCGAGAAGTGAGAGAGTCAACTCAAACCCCCCGATTAAGACAAAACACTAAACAGTATAACAGAAATTCAGGATCCAATCGTGTGTACACGCGCTCATTGTCCGCGTATAAAATGTCTCTTATCTACTTTCTTCATACACTTTAATCAAATCAGAATCCGATTAGTCTTAAAGCATCTCGGCTTTTCTCCAGTTCCGTATTCACAGGACTGAACTTCACGCTCCTTAAAACAATTAAAACACAATCTATCTATATTTTGTCTTCTTGTCAATTAGCTCTTGGTTCATAAATCTCGACGACTTAGCTGAGTCAATAACCCCGGAAGAAGTCCGCCATCACATACAGAAAGAGAGAGGGAGAGAAAGTCTGACACAGAGTTGCTGACTCTCTTCGTTCTTAGACGAAAATCAAACATGAGTTCACTCGTGCAGGTAATCGATTCGTTAAATGAATCTCTCAAATATTTTTTTTCTCATTTTCTTCTAATTTGAACTTCTTATTATTAACAAATATCAATTTAATCATTTATTTATTTATTTATGTTGATTAAGGGTTTTACCAAGTCGCTTGCCATGACGGTGCTCTCGGAGATCGGCGACAAGACCTTTTTTGCCGCTGCGGTTCGTATATATTTAATTTTATTTGTTTACCATTTTTTTCTCGTATTTGGAAATGATTTGGATTGGATATTTTAGTTTTTTTTTTTTTTTTCCTATTTACTGTCTATTAGTTTGAAATTGATTAGGATGCATTTGGGATGATATGGAATCTTAAGAGGATAGTGGAATTAAAATTAATAATAATAATAATGGACTCAATGCTTAGGAAACACATTTACAAATCCTTATATTCAAATGTTTGAAAACACATTTACAAATTAAAATGTAAGCTGAAATCCGATATGAGAGTTTGCAGGGTGCAGATGAAGCAAATGAGAATTTTCTTTAATGTTAATGGCCCTACCCTGCTCCGTCTTTGACTTGCCTTTGCTTTATCTCGCGAACTTTTATGGATATTGAAGTGTTTGTACGGTCTCATGGCATTTTGCATATGGTCTTAAAGAAGACCCTTTCTGTAGGCATGTTCTACCATCAGCTAAATCAGTTGATTACATCCCAATTAGTGTTGAAGTTGTACTTTAGATTGTGATAAGTTTCTCAGAGGACATTATATGGGTGTGCTTTTGCATTTCAAGAGGGTTGAACGATTGAAAGTTGCCTTGATACCAGAATCACTGTGATCAATGTTATTTTTACTGTAGTTAACATTCCTATATTGCATGGATAACTCAAAGCCAACGATTTTTCTCATGTGAGCAAAGTGCAATAAAGATTGTTTTACTATCAATTCATTAGTTAATTTTAAACTAATGATCTTGTAAACAGTTGAAAGTCAGTAAAGCTAATTATTCTTCCAGTTTTTTGGAGTTCGATAACTGCCTTCTTTGTTGTTGAAATTCAATACTTGTACTAGAGATGCATTATGGAGCAGAGCCAAAAATTTTCAGATATACATTTTTCATTCTAGAGAGAAATCATGATGCTTTTGGAATTTCAGTGAGAAAAAGTCTCTTCCACTTAAAGATTCTCTTTATAGTTGTTCTATATGCTTCATGATTGATATATTTTACATTTCTGATTCTGTGACTTACTTTTTTTATTTTATTTTAATAAATTGGAAAACTTTCCCAATACGTATAACTTACATTATACGGTATGTTTCAAGATCTTGGCGATGCGTCATCCAAGGAGACTTGTCTTGTCAGGTTGCCTGGCAGCTTTGATCGTGAGTATGCTTTTGTATTCTTTTCATTACCTTGATTGATTGCAAATCTGACTTTTCTATTGAACCATTGGTCTTTAGGTGATGACTATTCTTTCTGCTGTTGTTGGCTGGGCAGCTCCAAATCTTGTAAGCAGTCTCATTGCTTTGTGAAAAGCTCTTATAATTATGGCATTCTATTTATCTTTTGTTTTTTTAATATTTATTTATTTATTTATTTTTATATGCTTGTAATTGGTGCTTGTTGTCACTTTGAGTGTCTAGAGCTAACTCATGGTATGACTAGAGTTTCGATGCTCTATTCTGATAGTAATTTTATTCAAATACTATATATTGTCATTGGCCAGAATTGTCTTACTAATAACAGAAGGAAAAAATATATCATAATTAAATTCAGGTAAATCTAAAAATTAAAAAAGCGAAAAAGAGCAAAGACCCAGATATATCTAACTCCCCAACTTTTCTTTATGGGTCATCCATTATCTAGAAAGAAGTCTTTTCCAATCTGATGGATCACAGCAGATATAAATTTCTTGGATGATAGTTTAATTATAATAAGCTTCAGAAGAATGAACAAGTAACTGAACAGGCAGAAGCCATCAATCAATTATTAATTGCTTACCCTTCCCTTGACAAAATCAATAAATGTTTTGAGTAATTGGAATCAAATAAAGGGGATAAAACATTCATTGGTTAACATAAGAACTAAGCTTACTGTTAGAGATTCTTCTGAAGAGGATCACATACTTAATCGTAGGGAAAGCTTAAGAAAGAGTTAATCTAACAAAAAATTTATTTGCTGTGGGATGTCCAGATATGGGTTGCCAAGAATTTGCTCAAATACATAACCAATCATGTTAAAATATTTTATATATTTGGTTGGTTGTCTGGGTTAGTAGGGCCTTTATTGAATCCGGGCCTATGACGGGGGCATAACTAAGGATTCCTTTTTGGCTGGGTTAGAAAAGACTTTTAAAAACCTTGTTGAGACAAAGAAATTCTATCTAGTCAGGTTCTCGATTTCTTCTGTTACCTTTCTCATCTAGTTTGTTAACTTATGCCTGGTGATCTTAAACATGCAGATCTCTCGTAAATGGACTCATCACATAACAACATTGCTGTTCTTTGGATTTGGTCTATGGTCTTTGTGGGATGCTTTTACTGATGGAGGGTAAAATTTTTGGCTTTGATGTTTCCATTCCCTATTTCTTTTTTTTTTTTTGAACCATTTGCGTATGCAGTTCTCGTTCTCATGCTTCAATATGATTAGATTCCACTTGCACAAGAGATAAATCATTTATTTATTATTTAACAGGGAGGCTGAAGAATTGGCTGAAGTTGAAAAAAAATTGGTCTGTTTTTACCTTTATCTTGGCTTACCTTATACTTAGCCTGAGTTCCTTTTGAATTTACCTTGGTTGCATTAACAGGATGCTGACTTTAAAGCAAATGCAGGAACCACCAAAGAGGGCAGTAAGGTATGGCTATAACACCACTATTTCATGAAATATGGCACTGCCTATGCAAATTATTAATGAGTCTCTCAAAAATATGTGAAATGTGTTTTTCAAGGATACAGCAATTTAACATGGACATATTTTTCTACGGTCATGAAATTTCTCCAATTTCATAGATAAAGTTGAGCAATTGGTGCTTTGTGTTAACATGTACCATGTACTACCATAGAGTATGGTAATGATGAAACAATCACATTATAATTCCCTCTATATGGGGATATTGTTATGTCTTTTCTGGAAAGTTTCATAAAGAGTTGGATGCATTAAATATTCATATTTTTCTCACTCAAATGGCATTTGTGAGATGTGATTTATTCAACTTAATTTCTTTTCCCCTCTCCGCTTCTCTTGTTAATTATTGATTTTAACAAATCACTTGGTCACTCTACAAAGGGAAGAAAACAAATAGGAAAAGAATCTGCTGGTGATGTTGAATGAATATATAATTTTTCATACTACAGATCATTTGACCCATATATATATTGTGCCTAATTTCTGGTAATGAGCCATTGACTTTGAGATTATACTAGTGACTGGCTGATCTGTACATCATACCAGTGCTGTTTGCTTGTAGTTATCAAACTTTTCTTAAATTTTTGGCTTTTGGGATATTCCAGAAATATCAATTGCCATGTATGTCTGCCAGTAACTTCTGTGCTCACCTTAAATCTTATAAGTAGCGTCTGAGTGATGATGTTTGGTTTAGAACTTGTTGAATTAGGCTTTCAATCACTATTTGACATAAGTTGATAGCACACTCCTTAGGGTTTGCATTGGCGGTAACACATGTTCTTCTTCCTTGTTCATGCACATTTCATGAGTTTTTCCCCTGCCCATGTAAGCGGTAATAAGTATTTCTTATAAAACATTGAACCAGTGATATTACAATTTTTAGTGCCACTCAGGACATTATGTACTCTGCTACTACATTTGTTCAAGTCTTGTCATTTAAATACAAGCAAATAAAGGTTTATGAGCATTTTTGAAATCTTTTCTATTATGAAGTTGTAAAAAGAAAATCAATTCCATGTGGTGAAATTTTTTTCTCGAACTTCTTCTATGGAACAACAATGTGCACCACCATGGTGCTAGTTATGGTAGTGATTCAAATCAATAATCAAGGCCCCCATTATGTTGGTGTGTTTTAACATCATGGTTTCAAATATTTGAAAGTACTTTCTTTCTCCATTTCCAGGCTGATGATGAGTCGAAAAAGAAGAAGCGGCCATTCCTCTATCAGTTCTTCTCTCCAATCCTCTTGAAGGTTATATTTCTGTGAATTGTTGAATTCTAAATCCTGCAAGCCTATGCTTACATTATCAGTTCTTATTCTGCAGGCATTTTCTATTACTTTCTTTGGGGAATGGGGTGACAAGAGCCAGGTAAAATATCAATTACAGAACTGCTGCATATATCTGTGTGTATTACATTATCACTAATTGTTGTGTCATTACCATGTTTCTCTGAATAACTGCCAATTCAGCTAGCTACTATTGGTTTGGCTGCGGATGAGAACCCATTTGGTGTTGTTCTTGGAGGAGTTGTGTAAGTTATTCATTGCAGCCTTGTGATTGTGTTCGTTTTCTTGTGATGATGTACATATTACACATCTTTGCTGATTGTTTTCCCTTCTTTAGAGGACAAGCATTGTGTACCACTGCTGCTGTCCTTGGAGGAAAGAGCTTGGCATCTCAGATATCAGAGAAAATAGTAATCTTACACTTTTTTTTTTTTAATTTCTATTATGGTTTATACACTTTATCTATTTTATTGAGCAGTTGTAATGTTGTAACTATCTTGATGCAGGTTGCACTCTCAGGTGGAGTTCTCTTTATTGTTTTTGGACTCCAGTCCTTCCTTTCATCAGTGGAGTGATAAAATCACATTATTGATGGTTAGTACACAATCTCTACGTATATAGCATGTCCTAGAAATGAACTTTCTCTTTTTGGCCTATCTGGGTTGCTAGGAAAATCTATATACTAGTTAACCTGTTAGAACATGCTATTTCACCAAAAAGTCAAATCAGTCCGTGGATCAGAACAAAATATCTCAGGTCAAATTTCAAACTAAATATTCCCGAATTGATTGACTGATCTTGCAGGCACTAAATATGTGCCACATGCACCAATAGACTGTTAGAAGAGGAATTCTATACTTAAGTTAATATTTCAACTTTTCCGTTTGATGCAATATGTAGATAATTAATGTTTTTCATCCAACTCTGTTGGATTTACAATAAATCAAATGCTAAGAATTTGTGTCCCCACGAAGAAGATAAGATAATATAGAAAAAGGTTAGACAATTGTAACACAAATTTGGGACACAAATTCTCAGCCTATGATTTAATGTAATCCAACGGATTTGGATGAGTTAATTATTTTTTAATGTCAACTAAACAATTTTTAAGCCGTTAGAAATTTTTGAGTCAATGGCTAGGAATTTGTGTTACAAATTTATGTAAAAAAATTGTTTTATAATAGCTATTATCATTCTTATTATACAAACCAGACTAGAAGCAGATGATATCTTTTCTTTAGCCCATGATTCTGGATGTCAGCCGGCACCCGGTATCCCCCGCTTGCAACCCTAACAGTGATTTTGGTTTATTCCTACCACTTGCCTGCAGGGATTGGAAGCCGATTTGGTGAAGTAAAGAACATTTCACGTTAGCTCTCAGAGCTCTATCATTTGCCATGGTAGGGCATTGTGATTATTTTCAAGAGAATGATTCAAACAAGAAAGGAAACCAATTCAAATATTGAAAAAAAAAATTCATAGGTTATGTCATATTTTATGGCTCTTTAGCGATAGTGAATTCTTCTTTTGCCTCTGCACATTTTACTGTACTTCATTTGAATTAAAACATTGTTGAAAAATCCAAATAAGATATTTAAATGTTCGCATGGAGTTGATTAATTTTGCTAGTCTCCTTTTTCCTTGTCTACTGCTCTCACTCAAGTTTAAGGTAGATGATTAGGGGCATTTGCTCATACAAATTATGCAATTGTGTGCTCAAAATCAATTTATATAACATGTATTACTGACAAAAAGAGAAGTCGATCAACATTGAACTGAAAGCACCCGACTTTTGGTTACAGTGAGTGGCGTTGATTTTTTTTCTCTCTTTTTGTTTTTTTTTTTTTTTTTTTTTTTAATGAGTGAAGCTATTCGAGTCAGTTTGTACGTATTTTAATTAATTTTTTGAAATCTTGAAATGAATAATTAGAAAAATCCTTTTAATGATCATTTTTATTAACGTGTGGGGTACAAATTTGTAAACATAACATCAACTAGGGGAAAGAAACAAAAATTAACAAGGAATAAAAATTTTATCAATCACAAAAGTTTAAAAATATTTCAGCCACTACTGAGATTTTATACGTGTCCTTCTTTAGTTGTTTTGTCCTCTAGCTTATTCTGCTCTATCCACTATTGTATTTATTCACGATATTTTTAGTTCCAAGGTCATCAGGTCTAAACAAGACAGAAATGTCAAATTCGAGCTAAACAATCAACACAAGTGAGCAGCCCCTAATAGACAATTAAATATCTTTCAAATTTTATTTGTTTAATTGTTTTGAAAGAAGAGAGATCTAAGTCATCTAACCACATAAACGCCTCGCATACCGAGTTTTATTCAAAATTACTACCACCCTGCTGTCATTAATTTGACCATAGGATGACTGAGGTTCATACAAATATGAGCACTACTGGCTTTATATACAACAATCTCTCACTTTTGAACGAGTACCCAGGGTTTTTTTCACTAGGGCTATATCTTTTCAGCAACCACCACCACTTGCAGGTTCAATAGAACTAAGTAGCCCATTGCCTCTTAGTTGCATGCAATGATCCTCTGCATCCGCCTGAGAACAAATAATCACAACTGACAACCCATTGTAGTGTGCTTCTTGCATGATATTAACTGCATTGTCCAGAGTCATTCCGGGTATAACCTTCATTAATACTTGGACAACATATTCCCGTTTATTGTAGTTGTCATTGTGCAGTATCACTCGGTAAGGTGGAGTTGTTTTCTTTTTTTTCCTGTAAAAGGTAAAGAATAGTACCACTAATGCTTCAGCATGCCATTCATTTGATTCTATATAAAAGATAACTATTCTATGTTGCACAGAAACATTCACAAAACAAAATGCACAATAATTAAAAAGAAATTCAAACGTGTAAGAATGAAAGGAACAAAATGACATCAAATTAATGGTTTTAACTTGAGATACATTAAAATGCATATTCCACAAGAGTCTTCAACTTGAGATTGGTTTCTAGATTTAAATTATCTAAGCTGGCATGGAAAAGATCATCACTCCGCGTTGGTCCTATCAGAAGAGTGAGCTAAGAAAGGGTTTTGAATATTTTACTACCCATTAGTATTTTATGTAAACAGCCAATTTCAAAACTTGAACCCAAGGTCAAGCGCTTATAAGAAGGCTTCTACAATTACAATAAGCAATGGACAACTAATATGTCATAAATTCATAATTTCATCCCCAATTTGGTTTCACACATCTAATTGCATGCATGGAAAGATAAATGTATAACTTAATGGTTCCAACCAAAGATATCAACAGGTTAATTTTTAATATTTCCCAGTGGAACACATAAAAAGAAAGAGCTTGGAATATTGGGCATATAATACCTCAGATCAAATTCGGATTCTCGGCCCGGACTGGTTCTCTCTATAACTGGCCTCTCCAATACCCCTCCTTTACCTGGTCCTGTTGCTGAAACAGCCATGAGAATGTTCCGATTGGCATATGCCCCTCTACAAAGAGACTGTCTGTCCCCTATTGCACATATTATCATTAATCATCATCCTCATCATCTTGATACCAAAAAGACAAAAGGTCTAACTCAAGTCTAATTTACCACACTCAATTAGGAGATTAAAAAGTAAAACATATTAAAAAGAGAAACACCATAATTTTGCATATTGCGATTCCCACTTTCGTTCATCAATTTAAGGGACACAAGGAATCTGTATTTTGAAAGGTCTCTCCAAATCTATCTATCTAGCCTGGACTTCGAGGGAAAATTACTAATATTTATTCATCTTCTTTTACTCTCCTCTTCTCTTCTCACTTAAGTATGCAAACAGAATCTAAAACTTCTCCCACCTCACTTCACTCCACTTCACATAACCTCTTTCCATTTCTCTGAAAACATCAACAACTATTTTTTTTCCTCAAAAAAGGCAATTTAAGAAAATCCACGGACTACTATGTTGTTCAGATACTAACTACAGCTTGATTAACAAGTACACACTAAAAAAACAAGACATTACATTACTCCAAATTCATTTAAGCAAATTCAAAAACAAAAAAATAAAACGAAACTCAAATAAAAAACACATCATCATCTTAAAAACTAGTTGGGCATACACAATCCTTCCTGTCAAACTCAAAATTGAACATGCAACATAACAACAGACACTTAAAAATAATTGTTACTAAAATCAAATCAAAGCCAATAAATTTATCCGACAAAAATCAAAGCCAAAAAATATAGAGCGTTGGATGAAGAACCTGGTTTCGAATTGAAGACGGTGTTGGGTGAAAGAGCTAGTCTCCCACAAATTGCAGTCTCCATATTTTCTCTCACTCTCTCTCTCTCGCTCCGTTCTCTTTCTCTAACAATCAAGTGGAAAATGGAAAAATAATAATAATAATAATATTAAAAACTGGTGGTTGTGGAACCCAATCAATTAAAAAGACGTCGTTTTCTGGCCTCAGGTGTTTCTCCAAAAGGACGCGTTTTGCCTCTTTACCTCTCATTTTTTTTTTTTTTTTTTTTTTTAAATTTCTATGTTTAAATTGAATTTAAACCGATTTTGATCAATATTATCTTTATAACTAATTTATTGAGAAATTAATAGTAGGAGAGATATTTGACAATTTTAATGACCAAAAAGTCGTTGATTACTAAATTAATCTTGATAATTAGATTTATATTTTCTATTTTAAGGTATTTAACGTAATTGTCTTTTTCACTATAAGAAATCAGTTAAAAAAATAAAAAAAAGCTCCATAAGTCAACTAATATTCTATATTTTGTGGGTGGATTAAAATAAGCACTTGATAATTGATATTAACATAAAATTAGTGTCCCGCTTTATCAATGTTCTTTTATTCATCTTATATCAACGTAGACTGATTAATTTAACTGGTATAATCTCTTATAATTATTATTAAATCTATAGATTTAAAGATCTATTAACCAATTCTCACTAACATAATAATAGTATGAGCCGTTCGATTCGCAATTTATGATCATTTTAACTTAAATAGAGAATTAGAGATCAATCAACCAACCATTTTATGAATTGTCTTTTATATTAGAGTAATACAACGTTTATATCAATATTTTACACTATTTTCTTCATCATGATGTGATAAATGTCATCTCATCTGTCACATTAACAAAATATTACGTCACTTTCTCCAAATAAAAATAATAAAAAACTGCTAAAAACTCAAAATTTCAAACTTAATTTCCCTAAACGAAACCTAAATCAATTTCAAATCTCCTAAACACAGAAATGCACAAAATTTCTCCCCAAATACTCTCAATTTTGAAAACCCAGGCATCTCAGTCTCCAGCCACAGCCCCTTCCCAAAGCGTCTAGTGGCCATCCCAAACTGGTTTGCCTCTGATTTTGATGTTAAACGACCATTCGTCAGAAGATTACGGTGCACCACCACGATGTAGGCAAGTTGGCATCCCCACGGTGTCCAGCGACCATCCCAAACTGGTTTGCCTCTGATTGCCACTAGTTCTTGATTTTTTTTTTCACGCCTGTAAGCCTTTAAGTGTGTGTGTGTGAGTGAGTTTGAATTTTGTGAAAAGAGAAGAGATGTGGTTGTTTGGTAGAAAAGGATCATCCAGGTTCTCATCTTCTTCAACATTTGAGGAAGTTACAAAAGGAATTGATGGGGTTGGTCTCATTGCCATTGTTACAAGAATTTTTTTTTTTTTTTCCCCCCCATTATGTTGTTTACTTGAATGAGTTCATTTTTTTGTTGATTTATGTTAGGGCCAAAAAATGTCCTCAGCCCAAATAGGCTCAAAGACGAAGACACCTTCAACAAAGTTCAGAGCCATGACCCAATTCCGATTAGGCCTGCAACAGAGTCTGTATATCAAGTCCGCTCGGTACACCTACTCTATTACTCACTACTTGGGCCCAATCAGCAAAGACCCGATTCGTTTAGGCCTCACCACCAGCTTGTCTGGGTCCAGGCCGTTTGATCCTAGACCACCTACTGGACTTAGGATCTATTTGGAGCCCAAGGTTCCCTACTTACTCCGGCACTATCTGAACTCTATCGAAGAGGTCAATTACTATCCTAATTCGTCTAAGATTCATGTCTTAGACCCGTTGGGACTCCCTTTTCCACTAAGGTAAGGGAGTCAAAGGTTCTTTTTTTTTCACAAAACCTCAACTCCAAAGGACTCACAGTCCTACTAAGACTCGAAGATCCTATAGTTGCTATTTAAACAAAGGTCAAACCTCTCACAAGGGGACACATTACACCTTTGAAACCCATAGTTCTCACTCTTGGGAACCTCATATCACTGTCGTAGTTGTAGTCTTCGACTAGACTCCTAGTAACCTTCTCTTTCCCTAACCCACACTAAATTAGCCTTATTCAACCTTGTTGACTTGAGCGTCCGAGTGCCTACGGCAAACACCACCCTGATGTTTTCCGTTCGCTTCATGCTTGTTTCCTCACTTGTGTAGGTACAGTGGATTGTTGGTGGCCTCAACCTCACGGGATCAGACCCTATTTTCATGAAGGTATATTTTTTGCATCTACAGTTTGGCGCCCACCGTGGGGCCTCTGGCAATCATTCGTCTTTCAAACCCTATTTCGTAAGGAAATTTTCTATGGCTGAAAATTCAGATAACACCTATCCTAGTCTCGAGGCTAGACTCAAAGCTCCGCAACCCTTATGCAACAACACTCAGACAAGGTGGCAACACAGGAAACTGAAAACGCCTCCATTCGGGCCAAAAACCAGTCTCTAAAAGAAAAGGTGAGTCAATTTTGTGACCTTGAGCTTCAGCCTTGTCAGGTACAACCTAATCGTTTCCACACATCAATTTTGTCCATGCAGCCTCTCCAAACTCCAGATCATAGATTGACCGCCTCGGATACAAGATCGCGACAACTCTATTCATCGCTAGTGGACGATTCAGCCTAGAATCCAATTGAGCGAGGACTATCAATAGAGTCACTCTCCGTCGACCCACTTCAGGCATGAGATCAAGACATCCAAGCAACAGAAAGCCCATCACAACAAGAGTCACCCATCCTTGCCATCCCATCTCATCTCCAATTAACCATTCCTACCTAAACCCCACTCGGCTTGACTTGACTCACCCTCGCGGGTCGAGCAGACTCCTTCACCTTCAATCCACCTCGCTCGAGTCTATCCATCCCTATGGACCGAGTGACTCCCAAATAACCCCTCTTACCATCCATGCAGGCCAAAACACCCAATCAGTCACAGTGGGAACCACCTAACCTGAGGGAATGAATGCAGATCCAAATTACCAAGTGGCACACCATGGAATGGTTCACCAAACTACCCCACGTGACTTGACCCAACGAAACATACCAAGTGCGAGTCATATGACAAACCAAGCCAACCAAGCCGACCTGGTGGCCTCCGCCTCGCCCATGGAGCAAATATTGGCTAAAAGATTGGCCGACATAAAGGCAATGAAGAGGCATTTACCTGGAGTGTCAATCCCTACCAAAAAGAGCCAACCTCACAGCTATGTTGATTCACCCTTTGTGGATGCAATCGCGTTAGCTGAGATGCTACACAAATTCACCATCCCCAGCATGAAGCCTTACGATGGCACAACCAACCTAAATGACCACATAGCCTTATACAAGCAGTAGATATTCACTGCCTCGATACCCCGGACATTGAAGGAAGCCTGCATGTGTAAGAGCTTCGGCTCCAACCTCTCTAGACCAGCCCCTCTAGACCAACCATTCAATGGTACACTAACCTTCCAAACAACGCAATTAGCTCATTCCCCCAACTCACCGACACCTTCGTTGAACAATTCACCAGCAACAAGAAACTCGAGAAACTGTCAGCCGACCTATACAAAGTCTACCAGAAGAGGGGGAGCCGCTGAGAGAGTACGTTAGCTGCTTTAATAAAGAAAAAATCTTAATCCCATCTTGTAATCCAGAGAGAGCGGTACATGCTTTTAGAAAAGGTCTCCTCCTAGATGGAGAACTATACAAAGACCTAACAAAACTTGACTGTACCACAATGGAAGACGCCCTAACTAGAGCAGTGATCTAAATCAAATGGGTGGAAGACGAGGCGAATCGAATGAGGCATATCAGATATGATGACTGTCACCAAAGGCATAATGAAATTAGGCCAGAGTCTAGATCGTTTAAGCCCTGTTATAAACCCCTTCCCCGTAATCCAAGCAAAATAAAAAAACCATATGATCTCCAGTCGACCAGAGCTGAAAATAGGTCATTCGGATCAAACCAATTCAAGATTCGAAAATACAACCTCAACGTCGAACCAACTTAGGTCGTGGCAATCAAGAAAGGAATGGGACCTACCGTGAAATGGCTAGCCAAGCTCAATCCCGACGCGAAGAGGGACACGACCAAGTAGTGCGAATCCACAACAACTATAGTCATAACACCGTCGATTGCATCACCCTAAGATTGGAAGTTGCAGCACTATTAAAGAGGAGACATCTCCGGGACCTGTTGAACAATAAAAGGAAGAATACAGTCGACCAAAGAAGCTCGAAAGAAACATCTCCCACTTCACGAGAACAGACACCAAAGGGGTTTTGCTTCATTATCTCTAGAGGGTCAGAAATCAGTGGGATGAGTTATTCATCAGCCAAGCACTACGCTCGAGCCAACAATCACCTAGAAGTCCAGTCCATTCATCTATCCCCTTGGGCGCATACTAACCAGATAATTCAGTTTGAAGCTGACGAGCCAATCACCTTAGTCGTCCCTCATCACGATGCTCTGGTCATCTCCCTTCAAATTGCCAACATCCTGGTCAAGAGAGTATTTGTAGACAAGGGGTCATCGGCAAACATCCTCTTCCTTGGAGCAGTGAAAGCCATAGGACTGGATGAATCAAACATCAGTAGACGGCCAACCATCCTAGTCGGGTTCAATTCTGAGTAGAAGTACACCATCGGTGAAATCGTCTTGCCTGTCTACGCTATCAGAATCAACAAGCAAACCATCTTCCGAGTACTTGATGGCCCCTCACCATAAGTCATATTGGGTTGACCTTGGATCCACGACATGCGAGCTGTCCCAGCCACCTTCCATCAAGCTATCAGGTTTCCAACAAAGTGGGGAGTAAGAGAAATCAAGGGCGATCCTAAGGCCTCTAGAGACTGCTACAAGAATGCCTTCAAAGGCAAAGGTCATGCTTCATAGCAGCTACAGGCCCATCTAACCCTTCCGACCGAGCTAGATCAACCATCCATGGAAGAGTTGGACGAAGTACATATACATTTGGACTATCCCAACCAAAAGACCCAAATAGGCTCTCGCCTCAAGCCCAAGATAACACAACGACTCATAAACTTCCTTAAGCAAAATCAAGATTGCTTTGCCTCGTCCCACGCGGACATGACGGGTATCAGCCCTGAGGT